CGGGTGCCAGCCCCTGCCACCTCGCCCGGGGGGCCCGCGCCGCCGGGCCGGAGCTTGGACCCCTTCCGAGAACGGGGGGCGGGTCTCTAGGGCAGCCCCCAGCCCGGCCTGGCAGGGACCTTGCACCAGGCACGCGCCCAGCGGGGCGGCCTCGACGGGCGCGTGCCGGCCGCCAGCCCGTGCCCCCGGGCAGGACTGGGGTAGGGGGCGCAGCGCTGGTGGTGGATGGGGCAGCTGGGGTAGGGGGAGCCCCGCTGGGAGGGGTGCTGCTGGCGAGGTGAGAAGGCGGCTCAGGCAGGTGCAGATCAGAGACAGCTGCTGGGGAGGGGGCAGAGCGCTGGGGGGGGGGTGATTGTGGGAGCGGGGCAAAGGAGCTGCTCAGAGGGCAGCAGGCGGGGGTTAGTGGACCCCCGCTGGAACGAACAGAGGTGGTGAGGAGCCAAGTGGGGGAAGATGGAGGGGCCGGAGGGGGACGGGGCATAGGGTGACCAGACAGCAAATGTGAAAAATCGGGACGGGGTGGGGGGTAATAGCAGCCTATATAAGAAAAAGACCCCAAAATCAGGACTGTCCCTATAAAATTGGGACATCTGGTCGCGCTAACGGGGCAGGAGCGAGGAGCTGGCTGTGGCTATAGGTTAGGCTGGGCGCAGGGGAAAGGGTTCCGCTGTGATTTAAGAGTAGGGTGACTAGACAATAAATGTGAAAAATCAGGGTAGGGGTGAGGGGGTAATAGTAGCCTATATAAAAAAAAACAAAAATCAGGACTGTCCCTATAAAATCAGGACATCTGGTCACCCTCTTTAAGAGATATCCCCCTTTCCACCAGGAGCAGTAGCGGGATTTGCTGTCTACACAGCAGACTTTTCCCAGGCAGGAGTGGCCCTGGAGGAGTGTTTGGTAGATTGGGTGGTTCTAACTGGTGGAGGGATCCAAGTCTAGCTCTCTGGGAGAGTCTTGAGCACAGCTACCTCTGACCCTCTAGTGCATTTGTCTAGGTGCCAACAAGCCCAGATCATCCATCTTTTTCATGGCATCTCAACCCAAAGAGCACATGGGGTCATTAATCCTCAATGCTTCCTTATTCAACTTCCCTGACAGTACAGTAAAGGGTCTTCCCTGCCTCCACCGACCCTCCACCCAGGAAACATTCCTCCAGCAGATTAGCCAAAATCAATGTTGTTTGCTTTGTACAGTAACTCCTCACTTAACGTTGTAGTTATGTTCCTGAAAAATGCGACTTTAAGCAAAACGATGTTAAGTGAATCCAATTTCCCCATAAGAATTAATGTAAATGAGGGGGTTAGGTTCCAGGGAAATTTTTTTCACCAGACAAAAGACATTTTATTTATATGTGTGTGTGTGTATATATATGTATATATATACACACACACACACAGTATAAGTTTTAAACAAACAATTTAATACTGGTACACAGTGATGATGATTGTGAAGCTTGGTTGATGTGGAGGAGTCAGAGGATGGGATATTTCGCTAAATGATGAACTGGCAATTGGCTGAGCCCTCAACGGTTAACTCTCTCACTCTGCAAGGCAGCAGGAATGGAGGGAGATATGTGCATTTCCCTTAAATACACTGCCTTGTTAATTAGATCAGCTTGCTGAGAGGGCAGCTGCTGCAAGAGCCCTCTCTCCTGAGCCCTGCTCTATGGAAGATGGGGTAAGTGGGGTGCAGGGGGACACCCTGACATTACCCTTCCCCAGCACAGCAAGCAGGAGTCTTGGGGAGCAGTTGCAAGGCAGAGGGCAGGAGCAGCACATGGCAGTGTAGGGAGGGACACAGTTGAACTGCAGGCAGCTGCTGCACAGGCAACTTAGGGGAGCGGGGAGCTGATAGGGGGCTGTAGGTCCACCCTGGTTCCAAGCCCCCACCAGCTAGCTGCAACAGGCTGCTCTTCCTGCAAGCAGTAGACAAAGCAGGTGGCTGCCAAAGGACATTAGAAGGGAGCATTACACAACTTTAAACGAGCATGTTCCCTAATTGATCAGCAACGTAACAATGTTAACTGGGACCACTTTAAGTGAGGAGTTACTGTACTGAAACTTTAATTTAAAAAAAAAAAAAAAAGGGCACCCTCATGTTTTTCATGCTCTGCTACATTCTTCTGTTCAATTTAGTCCCCCTGCAGAAGGCCTCCACACATAGAGATGTTCAGGAAATGGTTTTTCCAGCTCATTAAAATTTCTTAATTCTTTTTGAAATTTCCCATCCCACATTAGGACAAAGATGAAATCTTGAAAAATTTAATGAATCACAATTTTTTTAAAGTAGTTTTGATCAATTGAACTCTGTTGAAGTTAT